ATCCAATCCATGCCAGTGATGAGTTAGGTAATCAAGATTGATTTACAGTGCTGTCTCCCTATTTCCTACCAGCACCCAAGAAAATACCAATAGTCACACAGCACTGAGCATTGAAAGAGGGATGTTCTGTCAGTCTTCTCCTGAACTGAGTCCTGACCAGCTTCCCTGGAGGCCGCAAGAACCAGGAAATGAGCACATTTGAAAGAAAATCATTCTGGTTATGCCATGTGTATTGTTTGGCTCAGATCAGACATGGTCAAATGATCGTCTCTATTGCCTGTTTTAGTAAACAAAGTTTTATTGGGACACAGCCATGTATCAATAATCCTATTTTCATGCTACAACTGCAGAGTTGAGTTGTTGCAACTGAGACCATCTGGCTTACAAAGCTGAAAATATTTACTATCTGGCTCTTTCCTGCAATGCTTGCCAGTCTCTGGCTTAATCTCACCCACTAGGGCAGAATAATGCCAGTAAGTCAACCACAATGCCCACTGTAGTACCCTGTACTTTTCCTGTCTAGCATACTTCACATGTATATTATCTCTTTGAATATCTGCCTCCCTTGCCAATGTTAAATTCCCCAAGGGCAGCGAATATTTGCTTATTTTATTCTTTTCTGATGCCATTTCCACAGTCCCTATTACACACAGGACCTGAATCCTTGCAGTCACTTCATACACATTTGTTAGCTGAAATTAGTTCACTCTTTCAATAATTTGCCACAGACAAATAAAGCAATATTTCTTCAGTAAGTACTGGCTAAGAGTTACATTTCATACATAGCATGCCATGGCAGGGCTGGAGGTGTAGCTCAGTGCTTCCCTGGTATGTACAAGGCTCTAGATTGGATCCCGAGTACCAGGAATCAACCAATCAACAAACCAAAGAGTCTCACCAGGACCAGAAAAAGACCCCTATTCCATACTAAAGAAGCAAAAGTTTACTGACATTAACATGTCTCAATCTTTAAGAGAAAGTTGGGACCACATACCATCTTCTTTGAGAGGAGATAGGAGCTTGATTCTCAGAAGTGGAATGGCAGGTATAACTGTGGCTAGCACAGTAGATGTCAACGCACAGGGTCCCTGAGCCCTCATTGTGGAAAATGCTCAACCTAGCTCTGTAGTTCAGCCTTTACCAGTGGTTACAGCAGTCAGTAATTTTCTAAATGAAGAAAATGTTGAAAAAGTAGAAAGATAAGTGGTACATATTCAGTGATGTCTCTGGGCTATTGGTTTTTTTTTTTTTTTTTAGGTCATTTTTTAAAAAGAAGGCAAGGAAGCCAGGTGCCAGTGGCTCATGCCTGTAATCCTAGCTACTCAGGAGGCTGAGATCTGAATATCATGGTTCAAAGCCAGCCCAGACAGAAAAGTCTGTGAGACTCTTATCTCCAAAACTGGAAGTGGCGCTGTGGCTCAAGCGGTAGAGTGCTTGCCTTGAGCTGAAGAGTGCAGGGATAGCGCCCAAGTCCAGAGTTCAAGCCCATAACCGACAAAAAAAAAAAGCAGGCAAGGAAGAAGGAAGAAAGAAAAAGAAAGAGAGAAAGGAAGGAAGGAAAGAAGGAAGGAAGAAAGAGGGAAGAAAGAAAGGAAGGAAGGAAGGAAGGAAGGAAGGAAGGAAGGAAAAGACAAAATGGCAGAATCCACACAATAAGAGCCTGGGAAAACAGGCTTATAATTACTCAAGGGATCAAGGGCCTTTCTCATCCATCTGTGATGTCTTTTTCTCCTTATCATCCAACCTAAGAGAAAGACTACCATAATTTCTAGAATTGCTAAAAGAGGTAAACTGGTTTTTCATTCATTTTTTAGGTTTTCATTTGACAATCACATTCTTAATCTACGTTCCTGAGAAAATAAAAATAGTGGGGTGCACTTATGAAAACTACAACAGGATCTGCGTTTCATTAAGACCTGCTAATTAATATGGCAATGTGCAATAAAACAAGTCAGGTTTATAATCAAGTTGGGGCCTGTGTTAAGTAGCAAGGACTCAAACACTAGGGAAAGATAAAATGCCTAACACCACATTAAAATATCTCCCCTGGACAGTTTGTTTTCAAAAGAAGAAAAAAAAAAAAAGCTGGCAGTCAACTTTGGGCCAGCAGTACCTTTTTTCTATGTCTATATTTATGGTAATCATGGACTGAAATTCAGACTTAGGACAGCCTTACTTGCAAAAAAGGAAGACAAAGGGAAATCCCTCCATTTTTTTCCCCATGCAAATGATGTGGCATTTATAGCATCCTATTTTCTATAGAAAGAGCCACTCTTTTTTTGAGTGAAAGCAGAGAGATAGCCGAGATCAAAATGGCTCACTTTTTAGTTCACAGACCTTTGCACCGCTTCTATTTTTGTCATCTTAATAAAAAAATTCATAAATGTTCTAAAATAAAAATTGAAAATGACTCATGGGTATACTAATATTGCCCCAAATTCTTCAGATCTTTGTTATTCCTGTCCTGGGGCTTGAACTCAGGGCCTATCATGTTGACTCAGCTTATTTCACTCAAGGTTGGTATTCTACCACTTGAGCCAAATGTTTCTACTTCTGGCTCTTGGCTAATCTATTGGAGATAAGACCCTCAGATATTTGTCTGCTAAGGCTGATGTGGAACTAGGCTCCTCAGATCTTAGTCTCCTGAGTAGCTAGGATAACAGATCTGAGCTAGAAATTCTAGCTGGCACCCAGCTAGAACTTCTTTCTTCTTAAGGTGAAATATTTAATATGAAAAGTAGATGTCCAAGTACCTTGTGATACACTAATGTCAGACACTATCTATGCAGTAGGGGTGATATATTTGCTATCACTTGCAGTGATCGGCACATTGTTCATGCTGTCTCCCAAAAGGGCATGTTGGCATTTCAGAAAAACTTTTCATGTCCTGTTCTGCTGAAGCAGGTTATAAAATTGAGGAAGGACAGAGTGAACTTCCCCTGCAGCAAAGACATAGGATCCTCATTAGAGAAGTGCCCTCTCTACACCTAAAGGAAGGGGATACCATCCTTAACTCTGATGGCACAGGGACACAAAGGGATCTGTGCAAAAGGATTTGTCAGGATGGGTGCTGGTGTGTTGCACCTGTAATCTTAGCTACTCAGGAGACTGAAGTCTGAGGGTCAAGGTTCGAAGCCAATCCCAGATAGAAAAGTTCATAAGCCTCTCTTCTCCAGTTAAGCACCAAAAAAGCCAAAACTTGAGCTATGGATCAAGTGGTAAAGTAGGGACATCCCCCAGGCCCTGAGTTTTAGCCCCAGAGACAACGCACACACACAAACGCACGCGCACGCACACACACACACACACACACACACACACACACACAGAAGATTTGTCCAGTTCCCCCAGTTTATTACCCCTAGTTTATTACCATTAGATCATCTCCCTTTTGCCCACTTCTCCATGACTGACAACTTACTCATGAAACCTGTGTAACAAGTCCACAGGTTTACCTTGATGTCTGATCTTTATATAAAGACCTATATAGAGTCTCACATCTTATACAACTTAATTTAAATGAATGCATATACTTTTCTCTTGCTAATCTGCCCTTTACTATAAGGTTCTTAGCCATGAACCTAGCAGAGTGTGAGGAAAACATCTGTGCTTGATGAGTTCTTATTCTTTGAGCTATTGACACCAGATCCAGAAAAGAAAACACTCCAAGAAAATAACTTGGTAGAAACAACCATATTTATTAAACAACTCATTAGAACGGGCTTTGAAACAATAAAAAGTGAAATAAACTAAATGTTCCCTGGGAGGGAAATAAGGAAGTGGTTCAGCAAGTGTAAATTTATCAGCCAAGTGAAATATTCCCCGATTATTACAAATAAAATGATGCACACTATGTAATACTCGGTTAAAAAAAAAAAAAAAGAAACTGTTTGGGTTGCAAATATAAGGTGATTTTTTTTTGTTGCTTTGTATGTCCCGCCCCCATGGTATAACCCCTATTTTCATTGTATTTGCTGTTGGTATAATTTGGGGAGGGGAAGGGAAAAAACAAATTGTTTAAATAGGGATACAGGTGGACCCATTGCAACAAGGAGATGTACAATACGCTATGTCGAAAAACAAACTTTACAACTTTGGCGAGTGGGAGGGTGGGAGGAGTGTAGTCGTGGAGATGGGAGGGCAGGGATGGTAGAGGAAAAACAAAGGAGGAGGCAACAATGTTTGATAAGAAATGTACTCATTACCTTGCTCATGTAATTGTAACCCCTCTGTATGGTATTTTCACAATAAAATACTTATTAAAAAAAGAAGCTGAAAGGGGAAGAGAAAATGAGGATAGGAAATAAAAGATGAGAAAGACTAAAAAGGGTAAAGTAGAATACATTATAGCTGTACATGGAACATCTCTAAGTTTTTCTCTGTACACAGAGAAGCAAACTTAGAAAGCACTCCTCATCAATGGAGGTGATGAGATGGAGACCCATATACTCCATCCTGGCCCCTCCTGGGGGTCTGATGAGCCTTCCTCATCCCTCCTTTGGCCATTTGCAGTATGTATTTTTCATCTTCTAGGTGCCTCAGCCTATTCCTGAAAATCCACATACCTGACTCTGTTCAGCTACAGCTCCAGTCCCATCCTTTCTCTAAGGTGCTCTATTAGCCTGGAGTGAAATTCACTGGATTCCTTTGCTGTGGTCCTCATTTCCTCAATTATTTTAGTTGCTGGGGCTTCTGAGATAGATTGTGACTTTCGCAATGAGAGTTGTTTTGAATACGTGAAATGAGTAATAAATGTATGATTTTGAGTGAATAAATGACTGGCTATAAACTCTTGTAGCTTTGTATCTACCATACAATTCGTGGTGCCAGGTAAACAAATTATAATAATCTTCAGTGAACAAATGAATACCTGAATGTACATATATTGTTAATTATTACCGGCCATAAGACAAGATTATGTTTCCCTTTTTTGTCTCTTCTGCATACTGGACACATTTCTTTTTGGAAAACAAATGGTGTCATCCAGGAAGGCAACTTACCCAGATCAAACTGGCCAGAAATGTAGCCACAGGTCTGTCGTACTTCCTCACTATCCCAGCCCAAGGGGTAGAGAGCGCAGCCAGCACCAATCAACAAGCCTGTGGAGGCACAAGACAAGAGGGCTTTAAAATGCACCCCTGGATAAAGGGGATCGTTATTTAGCATTCGCAAGACCATGATGTCTATTCTTTTGAAATCACCAGCCCCAAATCCCTAATGCAATCTAAAGTCAGCTTGGCTCCAGTAACAATATACATCTGCTTAAAGAAAAAGAGCCTGTACCAGTGGCTCATGCCTGTATCCTAGCTACTCAGGAGGCTGAGGTCTGAAGATCACAATTCAACGTCAGCCCTGGCAGACAAATCCTAGAAGACACTCATCACCAATTAACGACCCAAAAAAGTTGGAAGTGAGGCTGTGGTTCAAGTTGTACAGTGCTAGCCTTGAGCAAAAAATGGTCAAGCTAGTACCCTAGGTGTAAGCCTCAGGACTGGCACAAAAAAGAAAAAGAAAAAAAAAGTCACTGACAATTCCCTTTGACTCCTAAAATTTGCTTTTTTTCTAAGCAAAAAGGACCTTGGAAGTCCTATTTAGGAACTAAAACCCACAAGCCCTCATTAATCCAGGCAAACAAGTAATTCAAGAACAACCAAAAGTCTCTAGTAAGTTATGCTTTGTCATTCATTAGGATTTTTTTGGTTTTGTTTCCAATATAAAAATAAAAATAGAAGGTTTCAGTTTTGTCAAATTTTACCCAGGATAGAAAGATTTTCTTGAACCAGTTCAGCTCATCAGTAGGACTATGAACTCTCCTTTCTGTTCTTGGCCTTGCTAAGAATCACATCCACGACACACAGAAATGCTATAGAAGACACATTACAACCTCAATCCTCTTTACAGCTAAAAAACAAAACTGATTAATACGAAGACAATGATGGTTTCATTTTATGATAAATTAAGTTATCAGGGCTGCACACTGGGCTTACAAGCTTGCGATTAGCGAGGCATCTTTAGTTTTGCATCAAGTCTTAATACGGTTTAACAAGCACATGAATGAGATTTATACACTCACTATTTGATTCTGCCAGCTAATCTGAAAGTAAGATCTTGTCCTGTCAATCAGTGAGCATTATCATCACCGGTTAGTGCCACAAATGCGCTGAGACAGTAGGACTACTACGTAAGTCGTCTGATGGGGTGAGGGGAAAATGAGGGTTATCAGGAGCACACTCAGGGAGGCCCTGATTAGAAAAACACATTAACATGGAAATGTGGAAGCAGGATCCAAATGCATCTAGACGCGAGTATCTTTCCCATTTATGTGGAATCCCTTCTGTCCATTCTTGTCACTTCTTTTTACCCTCTGCTAGTTGGTGACTGAGAACAAACAATATGTCCCTAACAAAATAGGAGCTGCCAAGCCTAAGGAGAAACATCTATTATGTAGTGGTGATACTGTTACTCCTCCTCCTCCTCCACTTCCTCCTCCTCCTCCTTCACCTCCTCCTCCTCCTCCTCCTTCTTCTTCCCAGGCCTGGGGCTTGAACTCAGGGCCTGGGTGCTGTCCTTGAATTCTTTTTTGCACTAAGGATAAAGTCCTATCACTTGAGCCACAGCTCCACTTCTGACTCTTGGAGTAGTTAATTATAGATAAGAATCTCATGGATTTCCTGTCTAGGCTGGCTTCAAACCATGATTCTCAGATCTCAGCATCCTGAGTAACTAGGATTATAGGCTTGAACCCCAGGCACCCACCAACACTCATTACTTCTGACCCTAACAGCCCTCCCTTGGTCTACAAAAAAGCAGTTCTCTAGTGTAGAAGGGCCAGATCCAAGTGAAGGTGCAGAATCACTCAAATTATAGAACCCAAAATGTCCTGTAGCTATTGCATAAGTGTGAACTGTGTTGAGGCTAATCCAGAAAGCAGTAGTATCAGGTTTGACTCACTGGACAAATGCCTGTCTGGGCTTTTTCCTTTGGAATAGAACTTGAGTGTTCTGATGACAATTGCAAACTAGTTTACCCACTATCAGATGATTAATGAATATGCCAAAATCTATGTAAATTGAATTACAGTAATGTTTGGCAAATAATGTACCATTGCCATGATGTTCATTCTTAATAAGTTAATAATAGTTTGAAATTCTGTAATTTTTAAGGACGACAAGTACAGAAAATACTTGAGCAGAAAACATCCACACGTAAGAAAAAAAATGAAAAAAAAATTGTGACACAAGTTAGTAGAAGAGCAGGCAGTCACAGAGTGATGGCCTATAACAACTTGAAGATGGCAGGATAAACTATAACCTGTTTGACAACGAAGTGCGAGTAGGGGACTACATAAGAATGAGGAAGTAAGAAGGGCAAAAGCATGAGGAAATAAGGAAAGCATATTCAACCTTTGGTGCCACAACCATACAGGAAACAGATAAGAGACCCACCAATCAGATACCCATCCAGTTCTCTCTGTTTAACCCAAGGCTCAGGTCTAAGCTGAAGACAGCCAAGATGGCAGAGATAGGATGAAGTGCTGTCTTCTTGTGGCTGTGGATTCCACAGGTATATCAATGACCTCTCCACTGCCCTGCTTATTACCATTGTACATTATGTTGCAAGGAAGTCTCAAGCTGGTTTCCAACAGACTTTTAGTGTGCATCTCTAGCCAGGAAGTACCCAAAACAGAAAAATCAATTCCATAAAACTCAGGGATATGTCTCCATATGCAAACAACTCCATCATATAATCATCCTAATGAGTACCTTGCATGAAATTCTCAACAACAAACCTCCACAGATATCAGATGACCAAGCTCAGGGAAACTTCAGGTCATATAACACATCACATTCAGTGAAGGGGAAAAAGGTATGACCAAAAAAGGTCTCATTTATACTGTCCACAGAATCTCTGAGCTACATGCAGTTGTTTAAAGTTAACTAAGATTAAATAAAATACAAAATTTCCATTCTTTGGTTGCATTAGCCACATTTCAAGTGCTTAGGAATCCTCTGTTGGAAGTGGAACTCTAGACCATTTCCTCCCTGCAGAAAGGTCAATAGGAATGTGCTGCTGTGGCCCTAAGACGCACTTTGGAAGGATGTTGGACTTCTCAGAATTCTTGTAGGCCCAAGTTCGCTTGTTAATAATCAAAATCAAGTCCAACACTGGTGGTTCAAAGTATCTTAGATACTTAAATCCTCTGGAGCTCAGAGTTTTGAAAACAGCACTGGCAGAAAAGGCCATGAGATTCTGCCTTCAAAATAATCAGCAAAAGGCTGGGACATAGGAGAGCACCAACTGAGAAAGCTCGTGGAATGAGAACAAGGCCCTTATTTCAAAGATCAGGCACCATGAAAAGAAGAGGAAGAAGAGAATGATGTCACATGACGAAGATGGCTAACCTTTCTTTTTTTTTCTCTGCCAAGCGCCATTTGGATATTTTTGGCACCAATTGTGAGGCCATACGAAATTATCAGGCTAGGCAGACAGGCCACGGGACACCTACAAGAAGCTGTGTGTCAGCCCATCATATAACAACAGATTCCATGGGCCTTGAACTCTTCAACCCCCCTTGGCAGCTGCAGCCAGGCCAAAGCCTTCCTGCAGGCAGAAGGTGTGAGGTTTGGGCAGGGGCCGGTGGGCATCTCTTCTCATTTCCTACTGAGGGACATCAACGTCTGAGGATTCATGAATTCTCGATGGCAACTTCTCTTTCCCAAATCTTTCTCACTTTCCCAGATCTTCTCACAGGTGGGTAAAACTTTCAGACCCAGGACTACCCCTTTTTCTGGGTTTCTCCAGTGGTTTCTTCTACTGACTCACCCCTGCCTGTTAGGTTCAGGTCCAGCTCATATTAGGGCAGAGAGGCTGATAGAAATCTTTATGTCCTATAATGTTTCCTGACTATTACTCGTACCCTCAATTAAAATTTATCTCTAATATAACTTATGCTAATTTTTAAACCTCTGGGGAAAGTAGAGCTAGATAAACCTTTAACTCTGTTGGTGGTGTGGTCTCAGCTCATGGAATTTAGCATGCTAATTAACCTCTCTATGAGCTTGGTTTCAGAGAGAATGTCATATGTTAACTAAGTGCCTGCAGAAGTGTGGACTGAAGTTAACTAGCATTTTACAGGCTATACTGAAAATATTATACTGTAAGGTAGAGATAATTAAATGTGAAAATGAGAACATTTTGGGTGTAGGTGTGTGTGTGTGTGTGTGTGTGTGTGCGTGCGCACGTGTGCGCGTGTGTGGCTGTACTATAGTTTGAGCTCTGGTTAGAAAAGGGCACTTCTACTGAGCAACACTATCAAATCTTTTTGCTTTATTTATTTTTTAAACAGAGTCTCTGGCCTAGACTCTATCCTTCTATTTATATTTCCTACTTTGCTGGCTCGTAGCATCATGGGGCCCTGCAAAGTTTTTGCCTTGGCTGCCCTGGAAACTACTTAGTCCCCATCTCGGATGAGAACATCTTTTTAGTGAAAGTAATTTCCTACAGTTTAGTTTTAGTACTGTTAAACATCAAGTATATGGTGTGGAAATCAGTAGTGTACCGAAATCCATTTTAGAAATCAATGGATTATATATAATCTATTGAGATACTATGCTCTATGCTAAAATAGGGCTCATAGAATATTCTAGAATTTACGTGATAACCAGAAAGTGGTTGTTTTGTTTTGCTTTGCTTTGCTTTTCATGGTTCAGGACCTAGATATTTTCCCTTAACTTTTTGCCACTTCAGCCACACCTCCATTTTCAGATTTTTACTGGTTCATTGGAGATAAGTCTTTCAAATTTGTCTGCCAGGACTGGTTTTGAACCATGGTCCTCAGATCGAAGCCTTCTGAGTAGCCAGATTCCAGGCATGAGCCACTGGTGCTGGCTTCCAGACAGGTTTTAACAGCTGTAGTTGTCTGATACATTCGAGGGGGAGATGATGTCTCAATTAGAATTTTGAGCTCACTAACTTTAATACTATTTACAGGGATTTTCTTTACAAACCTTGTGGTTACCACATGAGTTTAATTTTAGCCAAGTTCTCTTACTGCATCCTAAAAGACCTCATGGGGGAAAAAAAAGCTCCAATTATCACC